AAGTATGTGCCACCATGCCCGGCCCAGGACTGCTTTTAATGTGTCCCAGAGGTTGTGTTGTGTTGTCCTTTTCATTGAATTCCAGGAGTTCCTTTATTTCTTTCTTAATTTCTCCTTTGACCCACTCATTGTTTAGGAGTGTGTTGTTCAATCGCCAGGAGTTCATGTAGTGACTAGGGCTTCAGCCAGTGTTGATTTTGAGCTTTATTGCTTTGTAGTCTGATAGAATGCATGGAATTATTTCAATATTGAGTTTGTTGAGGTTTGTTTTGTGGCCCAATATGTGGTCAGTTTTTGAAAAAGTTCCATGAGGTGCTGAGTAGAAAGTGTATTCTTTGGTGTTTGGGGGGAATAACAGAAAGATGCCTCTTAGGTCCATTTGATAATATGGCATCATTTAATTTAGCTGTGAAGAAAGGAATGGCTATACCAAGGGGTAGCGGAAAGAAATCCAATAAAGGTATAACTGTGGAAAAGTAAAGCTATGTCAAGAATATAAACAGAAACAAAAATGACAGGATACAATACTCATCTTTCAAAATAACTTTATATATTAACTGACTAAACTCCTCAGTCAAAAGACACAGACTAGGTGAAGTGGCCCTCTTTATCTCTTTAGTTTTACTTTGAAGTCTATTTTAATAGATATTAGAATTGCAACCCCTGCTTGTTTCTTAGTGTCATTTGCTTAGAATATTCTTTTCCATCCTTTTACCTTAAGGTAGTGCCTGTCCTTGAAGATGAGATGGGTTTCTTACAGACAGCAAAGAGATGGATTTTGTTTCTTAATCGCTTAGCCTGTGTCTTTTGACTGCAGAGTTCAGTCCATTGATATTTAAAGTTATTATTGAAAGGTAATTTTTTGTTTCCTAGATTATATCTTTATTTTCTTTCGTTGCCCCTAGGGTACAGTTGTTTGTCTCTCTGTTCTCCATATTGCTTCAAGTGTTCTTTGAAGGGCTGGTTTTGTGGACATGTATTCTTTCAGGCTATTGGTGTCATGGAAGGTTTTTCTTCCCCCCTCAACTATAATAGACATTTTTGCTGGGTATAGTATTCTGGGCCGACATCTATTGTCATGTAGAACTGGAAATACCTTGGTCCAGGCTCTTCTGGCTTTTGCATTGATAAGTCAGCTGTAATTCTGATGGGCTTTCCTTTGTATGTGACTTGTTTTTCTTTTGCTGCTTTCAGTATTCTTTGTTCTGTACATTGAGTGTTTTTACTATGATATGTCGTGGGGAGTTTTTCTGGTCCTGTCTATTTGGTGTTCTGTGTGCTTCCTGTATTTGTATGGGGATGTCTTTCCTTAATTTCAGGAAATTCTCTTCTACAATCCTGTTTCAGATCTAGTCAACACCATTAGCCTGAAATTCTTCTCCTTCCTCTATTCCTATGATCCATAGATTTGGTCTTTTCATGGTGTCCCACATCTCTTGCATATTCCATTCCTGTGTTTAATTTCTTTTTTTATAATGTGTATGCGTGTATTGCCTGCATGTAGATAAGTGCACCTGTGTCATGCAATGCCTGCGGAGGACAGAAGAGGCTGTCAGATCCCCTGGGACTGGAGTTATGGACAGTTGTTAGCTGCCATGTGGGTGCTGGGATTCGAACCCAGGTCTTCTGCAAAAACAACCAGTGTTCTTAACTGCTGAGCCATCTCTCCGGCCCTGTGTTTTTTAAAATTTTCCATACTCTTTGCGTGAGTGGTCCATTCTTCAACTTTATCCTCCAGTGTTGGTATTCTGTTTTCCGTTTCATTCATTCTAGAGGTGAGGCTTTCCCCTGTTGTTTCAAAAGTTGGCTTATTGAGTTTTGCACTTCCTTCTTCATTTCTGAGTTTTCTTCAATGTCTCTCTTTTGTGAATTCATTCAGAAGTTTATCCCTGTCTTCTTTTAGTTCTTTGTGCGTTCTTTAAATTCCTTGAATTCCTTGATCATGTTTATGATTGTTGTTTTAAATTCAGTGTCCTGGGTTAGGGGTTCTCCTTGTCAAACTCTTCTACAGGATTGGTGGGGTTTGGTGGGGACATAGTGTTTTGGATTTCCATTTTATTATTCTTTCATTGTGGTTTTGGCATGTGAATTTCTTTTGGTATGATTCTGATACGGGAGTTAAGTTGAAGTAAGCTTCTGTTTGTATTATCCAGATGCCTAGATCCTTTCTTTATCGGTTATGTAAGGCTGGTTGATACAGGGTTCAGGTTCTCTCAAGTTTATTTTGGAGGGAACTGATGGCTTCAGATCAGCTATTCTGGGGTACCCACAGGAGCCCAATTCAGGTTCCAGTCAGGTACACTCAGGCTTCCTTCACCATGTGGAGACAGGATCCAGGCTCTCTCAGGCAGTCCCAAGGGTTGTCAACCCTATGCCAGAGGGGGGCTAGAGGGGGGCCAGAACTCGGCACTCTCTGGTGGCCTGCGGAGATCCCAGCAGCTACACTGATGGAGGTCTAAACCCACCCTCTCAGGCTGTCTGCTAGGATCTCAGTCTTAGCCTACCAAAGCCAGATCTGCCCTCGGGCCTTGGGAGGGGCCTCCCAAAATCCCAGGTAGGGGGATGGTATGGCGCAATTAGGCCAAGCTCACCACCATGTGGAGGCAGGATCTGGGGGCTGTCAGGCAGTCCCCTGGGTTCTCGGGCCCTCTGATAGTTGGAGGCCAGAGGGAGGCCAGAACCCAGCACTCTTTGGTGGGTCTGCTGAGCTCCAAGTCGCTACCCAGATGGAGGTCGATTTTTTTTTTTTCTTTTTTTTAATTCTAAATCATCTGTTGATGTATTGAAGTTACTATTGTATCAGGAACTGCCTGTCCCTTTTTACCAGCAGTGTTTATAAAACTGGACATGCCAACATCATAGCTGGTCTACATTGATACTAACATGAGTGCCTTTTCTCCTAATTTTGACTAGACATCTACTTTGTCAGATTTGAATATAGCTATTCAAGGGCTTGTTTCCCGCTTCCACCTGCTTGATGGGTCAGCTTCTTCCACTTTAATCTGTGTTGTGTTCCAGTGAGATGTGTTTCTGGTGGAAAACAGATCTTGTTTTATAATCTAGCTAATATGAATTTTAAGAGTTTATTATTTTTGCATTAAGTGCAACCCTGTCATGCAAGGCCCACAGAGGTCAGAAGAGGGCATTGAATCCCATGGAACTGGAGTTACATCATTAGTTGCCATATAGGTACTGGAATTGAACCTGGGTCCTCTGCAAGAGCAGCCAGTGCTCTTAACCACTGAGCCTTCTCTCTAGCCCCACCACCTTACTTTTTGAAACAGGGTCTCTTACTATACCTGGCGTTCACCATTTCAGCTACACTAGCTGGTCAGTGAGTCCTCAGAATCTGCCTATACTCCCCCCACCCAAGCAATAGGGTTACAGACCCATACCACCATACCCAGCTTTTACAGTAGTGGGTGCTGGGCGTCCAAACTGAAATCCTCACACTTGCATAGCAAGTACTTGGCCCATTGAGCCTTTGTTGAGTTCTCTGTCTCTCATGTGCAACTTGGCCCTTTCCGCTTTACATATTCTTAGGTTTCATTCTTGACAGTTGTGTTTATGCCTCTTTTGTCATTGATGTCTGAACGTATTTTCTCAACCTTGTTTTCAGTCCTGGATATTCTTTGTTCTGCTTCATCTAGTCTGTCTTACCATTCAGAATGGCACTGAGTTGAGTCCCAACCAAAGTCAGTTGTTAACAGAACTATATTCACTTTTTCTGTACATACTGAGCCACTGCTGGCCACACTGACCTTTGTAGCCTGTCCATCTGGGGTAATGTTCAAGCCAAGGGGTGTGTGTCTACCATTTCTGGAGAATGAGAGAAGCCAACAGAACACTGAGCTTTGTACTAGAGACAGACCTCAGTGCTTTCACATCCTGTGGGAAGGAAAGGCTGAAGAAATTAGGTGTGCCATGGAGCCTGGGCTTCAAACTTCTCAGTCCTACTGATAGCTTTCCTATATCATTCTCCACGTTTATTCTTAGATGGGGTTTGCTCATCACCATAGAAGGCAGGACTGCCAAACAGTGAACCTTTTACAGCCCAAGCTGTCCAAACTTGTCAGCGTGTCTGCACCAGCCCTTTCTCTAACCGCCTCCCATCCAGAGACTGTTTCAGCATGTCTCCAGGCTCCCGGAATGTATCTGCTGTTAGTGTTCAAGCCCTCGGAGTAGCACATTCTCAGTCAGTACCTCCTCTCAAGGTGGCAGGGCCTACAAGGCTCTGAAATGGGAGAGTGGCAAAGTTAAATTCCTTCTCCACTGTTGACCCATCACACATGAAGCACTCATGTTATGCCAAGTCTCCCAGCTGACCTTCAGGTGTGTGAGCACTATGGGCTGCTTCTGTGGCCAGGACTTCCATTTTCTTTATACTGACTGACCTTGTGTATAAGACTCGGGACAGCATCCTCGTCACCAGGCTTAGGCTTTTTCTGTTGCTCCATGCGTTTCAGCTGGCCTCCCAGCTCATGGCTCTGATGCTGTTCCTTCTGAGCCTTGTCACACTAACAGCTTCACAGGATCAGAGGCAGAATCTGAGCCACTGGCCTCGTAAACTTGACTGGAAATAACAGAATCTGGATTTTTTTTTTTTTCTTCTGAGACATTTGTAAAACGTTCTCATGATGAAACCTTGGCAAAGCCAGTGTCTGCTTTACTCTTCTGTCTGGTAATAGGTACTGATTTGCAGTCTCAAGAGTGAAGGAAACATGATGACTTGCCTAACTATTCCTAAAAAGCTGTGTGTATGCAGGCTTCCTCTGCGTTCAGAAAGTGCTGCCCTGAAACAGCAGTCGGAGTTAGCTGTGGCCATTTCACTGAGGCCTTTGAGCTCTTAAAAGCTAGTAGTTAGCCTGGCACAGGGTGCACACCTGTAATCCCAACATTCAGGAGACCAAGGCAGAATGTGAGTTTGAACAGGCTGCACAGAAGGTGGAGATGGGATCGGAGCGTGTGGTATATCCCTAACACCTGGCTCTGTGTTTCAGCTCCACTGGCAGTCACTTCTCTATGTTGGGAATTGGGGACATTGTGATGCCTGGCCTCCTGCTGTGCTTTGTTCTTCGCTATGACAACTATAAGAAACAAGCCAGTGGTGACTCCTGTGGTGCCCCTGGTCCAGCAAATATCTCTGGGCGCATGCAGAAGGTCTCCTACTTCCACTGCACCCTCATCGGGTACTTCGTAGGTAAGGAGAAGCCCATCCCCTCCCTGCCTCCCTCCCACTCTTGGAATTAAACCAGGTCATCTAGCTGCTGACCAGAAGAGCACATACTCTGGGAGCTGTTTGACAACCGGAAGGAATCCTTGAGGTGATGCAGGCTCCCTGTGCCCAGTGCCCAGTCCTTATCTATAGCACGTATGAACAGCATGACCAGTTCTCTGCCCCAACACACCCCAGATGCTTGGGGACTAGACTCTGCATAGATTGTCCATGGATGGGGCTTAGTAAATGTCCTTTTCATTGTTCCTATACATCCACTACCTCTGACCTTGGACTCGCTTCCAATAGGAAGATAATTGCTAGTAGGCTAAGAACAGAAATGACCTACACACAACGTAACTGCTGCTACAAAGCCTGCGTTAAAGGGCTTCTCTCTTCCTTCATGCCTTTTGCTAACCTGACGTGCATGTGGGTTTGTGTCAGCTAAACACCCTGAGAGGGTTAGGCAGGTGGTATCCCCATGAAGCAGGTGAGAAGCTGAGGGGGAATCTCAAGCAAGGTTACAAAGCTATTATTTAGTACTTCAAGTCCGTCACCACACAGAGGGAGACAAGGTTTTAAAGCCAGGAACCTAAGCAAGGAGTGGCCCTTCTGAGCTGGTCATGGGTCTTTGGAGGTGCTTTGCTGCCCATCAACTCTAGAATGGACTAAGGTCACAGCCAGGTGACGGTCTCCTCTGTTGGGCTGGCCTCTCAGAGCCACTCACCAGTGTCTCTCCTCCTAGGTCTGCTCACTGCTACTGTGGCGTCTCGCATCCACCGAGCTGCCCAGCCCGCCCTCCTCTACCTGGTGCCATTTACTTTATTGCCACTCCTCACCATGGCCTACTTAAAGGTGAGAAAAGCAGCTGTAAACCTGGGAGTCACAGCTTATGCTCTTGGGCTGAAGTATACTTTGCTCACTGGCGCTGGTTCTGCTTAAGCCCCTGAGCTTTTGATCTGGACTGTTTTTATGTGATGGCTTGGAATTAGCAAATATTTTAGGATTCTTAGAACAATTGGCAGAAATTGCTCATGATTAGGCCACTTATACTGGCTGGCCTAATGATTAACTGAAATAAGAACCATACTGTTGTGACTTCCTCTGATTAAAGCAACCCATTAGAGCCAGGTATAATGGTGCATGCCTGTCATCTCAACACTCAGAAGAGTGAGGCAGAGGACTTTGAGTTCAGGGCCAGCTTGGGCAATTTATAAGAGCCTGTCTAAAAAAAATTGTTTTTAATATTTTACTATTTTTATGTGTATGTGTGTATTGCCTACATGTAGGTAAGTGCACCCATGTCATACAATGGACAGAAGAGGCTGTCAGATCCCCTGGAACTGGAGTTACGGACAGTTGTTAGCTGCCATGTGGGTGCTAGGATTCGAACCCAGGTCTTCTGCAAGAACAGCCAGTGTTCTTAACCACTAAGCCATCTCTCCAGCCCCCTCAAAGTAAAAATTTTTTAAAGACTAGGGCTGTAGCTCAGTGAGTCCCAGGGTTCGGTCCTTACCACCAAAACAAAAACCAGCAGTGCTCTGTTGCCACCTAACAGCTTTTTAAATACCATTTATTTTGAAAGAATCAAATATTTGGTATTAAGACAATTTTTCCCCTCCTGGCTTGTCCCCCCCCCAAAAAAAAAACCTAGATTGAGAGAGGGATTTTTTTTTTGTTTTTTGTGTGGGTTATTTGATCTTTTTGGTCTTTTTGAGACAGGATCTCCCTATAGCTCCAGCTGTCCTGGAACTCAGTATGTAGAACAGTCTGGCCTTGAACTCAGAGATCTGCCTGCCTCTGCCTCCCAAGTGCTGGGACTAAAGGCATATTGCCACCACACCTGGCTGAGAGAGTATTTTTATATGTATGTGCCAGAGACCAGAAGAGGACATTGAGTTCTTGGAACTGGAGTTACAGGCAGTTTTGTGCCGTATGGGTTCTGGGAACCCAACCTGCGTCCTTCACAAGAGCAGTAAGCATTGTCTTAACTGCTGATCCATCTCTCTAGCCCCAAGAGTACTTCCTTATTTACCAGATTTTTTAGTAGCATCTCATCTTACAGATAGGAACCACCAAGGTTCATGAACCAGGCTCACAGTGATAGAACTTGGGAGGGTTAAGTTTTCAGAGTTCCTAAAGGCAGGCCCCTCCTTACCTATGAGGCCTAGGAGCATCTCATGTAGTAAAATGTGAGGGCTATTTGATTCTCCCCAAAAGCATTCTGATCTGAATCTCAGGAATGGTCTTTCTTTCCCAGGGTGACCTACGACGGATGTGGTCTGAGCCATTCCACTCCAAGTCTAGCAGCTCCCGATTCCTGGAAGTATGATGGCCACACTAGAGTGCCCAGAATGGCTACTGTCGCCCTTTTCCTCACCACGTGGTTCTGTTTCTTAAAGCTGGCCTGGTACTCAGAGGCGTACCTGTTCAAGAAACTGCAGTGTAACTGGAGTTTGCGTCTGAAGGAAGCGTGTTTGCAGGGGAGAGTGCTGGAGCTCTGCCAGCTCCTCTTCCTGCACTCAGAGCTGGAGCCCAGTCCAGAAGTGACAGGCCTCTCCCTGCACTCCTGCCTCCTGTTTTTATGGATCTGTGCACCAGACTGTTACTTTGCAGGGAGGTGGAGATTTGACTGGTTTTAAGGTGCAAACAGCAAGGATTCGTTCTAGAACTTTTGAACACTAAAAGGATAAAAAATTTAGCAAACCGAAGTTTCTTCAGTGAACCCTCCAGAACTTTGGGACCAGTTTCCTATGGGGGACTCCATTTCAGAGAATCAAGACAGAAGCTCTTCTGTCCTATTCTTCCTTTTTTTGGATTTATTAAATATTTTCTGTGGTGTGAAGTGACTTATTAAATCCACAGACCTTGAATGACTTCTTACAACATACACATAAGAATTTGTTGTAAAGAGTTCATGTCCACCCAGACGTCGTGTTGGCAGTGAACAAGGGCACGGTTTTTATACATACGTACATATATATATATATACACACACACACGCGCGCGCGCACATAGACTTATATATATGAATAAACAGAGATTAGAACCTGCTAAGATCATGCTGTGTAGCCGAACGGGGCTTGCTGTAATTTTGAGCATGCAGAGCCGTCCCTGTGGCTTCCTGTATAAGCTGCCATCTCCCTCGAGAGGCCCTGCGGTTACAAGCTGACACAGCATTTGAACTGATGGACTTGTGAGCTCTAGGGTTCTTTTGATCAGTGTAGCAAATTAGGGATGAAAAGTTACCAACTTTTGGGCCCATTTCTTTTTACAGCTTCCCTGCAGTTTTTAGTGTCTCCTCTTGAACAGTGCATGTGCCATAGCAGCCAGGTGGCTCTGTGCTTTCGGGTCATAGGAATGTACTACCTGTAAATACAGTTTTCTATTTTATATTTTTTTGTATTTTTTTTTTTTTTTTTTTTTTTTTTTTTTTTTTTTTTTTTGGCATTTTGTTTCATTGGTGTGCTGTATTTTCCATGCCCTCACTCCTTTAAGAAAAAAAAAAAAGGAAAAAAGCAACACAATTCTGTTCTTTCTGTTGTGATTATAGTCTGGGTTTACCTGTGGTGACAACTGGGTATTGGGAACAAATGTCCAGTGCCTCTCAGAGTGGAAGCAAACTCCAGGAGTAGAAGAGCAGGCTGCTCTGCCTCCTTAGTCCACCTGTGCTATGTGTGATCTCTGCAGAGCCTGGAGTTGTGGCAGTGCCTCACACGGTGTCTGCTTGCCTTTCTACATCCTGATCCTCCACCAGTGGAAACTGCCTGTGCAGCGCACTGGTGTGCTGCTGTCTCCTGGGCTGGTGGCCACTGGGCCAGAGCTCACAGCGGGTGTCCATCTTGTCATCAGAGCAGGGTGCCATTAGGGTGTTGGACTCCTCTGTTGTCTTCAGATCCTGCTGAGGGGTTTGAGGGTCCTTTTTTGTCTCTAATAAATGACTCCTTTTTCTAGTTTTTGTCTTATATCTTGGTGGTTGGTGCCAAGCTGAGCACCCAGTTACCTCTGACTAATGCCAGAGAGTGATTGGAAGGCTGTCTGTCCCCAGACCCAGTCACCTGCAGCTCTGGCTCAGTTACAGAGACGTCGCCGTGTTGAAGCTTCCATTGTCCATAGAACTTAAACCACATCTGGAATCTGTGAAGGCTAAAAATAGTCTCCTATGAAGGCTGTTCAGCAGTGCAGCTTCCTCAGCCTCAGGGATGCAGCACACTTAAACATGAGGAGCTAGTCACATTAAAGGCAGGTGCCTGTGACAGCTAGGAACGAAATACCTCCCCCACCCCGGTCAGCTGGTCATTCAGATCAAGCCAAAGGAGTGGAACTTTTGTCAGCCTCACTTTTGTACAAATATGGGGGAAGGACTTGTCTACCACTTATGACTGCTTTTGCACCACAGACACCAGTCTCCAAAGCTCTTGAAACTCTCCCTTGAAACCTTGGCAGAGAAACCACAAATGTTTCTCATCTTAAATTAACTATGGTAGACTAGAATTCCAGTTGTGGAAGGCCTGTCTTGATTAGAGGGAGGTGGGACCCTGATGTGGGTACAGACTCCTTCCCTGACCTGATGCATCCTCAGTCTGCTCTTAATGCTTACTAAATGTGGAAGGGTCTGATGTTTTCTCAGACTTCCATTAGGTTTGATTTCTTTCTAGAGCCAGCATGGACACCCTCCTCTCCAGTCTGAAATTTGGTCTCCAAAGAACCTGCCTCAGTGTCTTGGTCACCTGCACAGCCTTAACTGTGTTTCTGATATGTAACTAAAGGTAAAGGAACACTTCACCCGAAAGTTCCGTTCAGATTGTCACAGGGTAGGGCTTCTCTGAGGACAGCCACATAGCTTCCTATGTAGGACAGCTCAAACGACAGAACCTGGGCAGCAGGCTCCCACAGCCCAGGTTACTCAGGTAAGTTACTGAGATCCCACTAGAAAAACAAGGGTGGTGGGGAAGGGAGTTTGGTCTTGTGAGTAGTGTTAGAAAGTAGAAGCTGTCGGCTTGGTGTGGTGGTGCATGTCTTTAATCCCAGCACTTGAAGGCAGAGGCAGGCGAATCTCTGTGAGTTCAGGCTACAGGGAGACCCTGTCTCAAAAAGACCAAAAAAAAGAAGAAAAAAAAAAAAAATAGAAACTGTCAGGGCTGGAGAGATGGCTCAGCAGTTAAGAGCACTGACTGCTCTTACAGAGGACCCAGGTTCGATTCCCAGTACACACATGGCAGCTACAAACCGTCCTTAACTCCAGTTCCAGGAGAATCCGAAGCCCTCTTCAACCTCCGTGGCATTGCATGACACTGGTGCACCCACATACATGCAGGCAATACACTCATACACATAAAAGTATTTTTTAAAAAAATCAGGTGGCCGGGCGTGGTGGTGCACACCTTTAATCACAGCACTCCGGAGGCAGAGGCAGGCAAATCTCTGTGAGTTCAAGGCCAGCCTGGTCTACATAGTGAGTTCCAGGACAGCTGGGGCTACAGGGAGACCCTGTCTCAAAAAGACCAAAAAAAAAAAAAAATAGGAGCTGTCATATCTGCCAAGCAGCTCTTACCACAGCTAACCAGATCCAGCTCTATGGAGATGTTGCTGTTGGTGAAGCCTTATTAGTCAGAGCCTGGGAATGAAGCAACTTTTCATGTGAGAAGTCAGGACTGTCACCCTGTAGCAGCTCCTCAGAGCTCAAGTTGCATGCTCTGCTGACTCCAGCACACACTGCTCACCACAGCCTCACCACTAAGCTTTGGCACTTTCCAACAGCAAAATCAACTTGGGAACTATGGCTTCTGACATCAAGCTTGTACTTCAGCTCAGCCAATCCTGCTGATAGAACGCAGGCTTCTTACCCTCTTGTGCAAAGAAGCCAGGTAAAATATTACCTGGAGATGACATCTACACAATCTGTAGACCACCATCTGTGAGACTCAAAACTCAAGCCTCCCAGTTCAGATTGCAGTTTCTCGTTTGCTCACAGCCAGCCTCTCCTTAAAACAGTACATTCCCTGTTCCTCTTGATCTCAGCCACCATGTTTTTGTTTTGTCTTTTTGAGCCCTGTAGCCCCAGCTGTCCTGGAATTCACTATGTAGACCAGGCTGGCCTTGAACTCACAAAGATCTGCCTGCCTCTGTCTCCCAAGTGCTGGGATTAAAGGCGTGTGCCACCACGCCCAGCCACCATGTATTTCTTAATCAGCCTTCCCCTAGGGATTCAAGGCCTCTTCCTGTCATTATAGGGCATTAAATCGTTTCATACTCGGGCTGTTACACAAATCTCAACACTGTGGGCATTCTCTCAGTGCGGGGGTTACATACACATGGACATGGCATCCATTCCCATGCACAAGGAAGTGGGTAGTAACACCACGCTGAGCTCCATGGCTCTCTGCCTGGGCCTCCTCCTTGCTGTCAATTGCAAAATCTGCCAAAAGTCCCATGTGGCCAGACTAAACCTGCCAGCTAAGAGAAGAGTAGGTTGGCACCAAAGCTCAACACTCCTGTCGGACCCAGGCTAGAATACACCCAACATCTAGATGAATTGAGAAAGAAGCCAGAAGTCTGCTTGATCTTATTACAACAGGGCTCAGAAGTCCAACTTCCAGCCAGCAGCTAGTAAGGCCGCACTTCTAAGTTTCTGCAGTGTGTACAATCACACCAGCGTGCTGTACCCTTAGTTGAGTGAAAGCAGCTGTGGTTTCACAAGATCAAGAAAGTTAAGATCACAGCATGGGGATTGAGATGGCTCAGCCATTACAAGTGCTTCCTGTTCTTAGAGTTTGATTCCCAGCACCCACATTGGATGGCTCACAACCACCTGTAAATCCAACTCCAGGGGATCTAATGTTCTTTTCTGACACACACGTGGCATACACACACACACACACACACGTAAACGTAAATATCTTTTATTCCAGCATGGAGAGGGTAGGGGCTCTGGAGGCCCCACTACTAGCTGAGGAGCTATTGGCAGGTGATAGCTGCTAGAGGGAGGGAGAGTTGCTTTTCTTTGGGTGTATGACCACTGATAGGTTCATGCCTGAGTGGATGACCCCCATGCCCATGCATATAAGGGCAACACTAACTGAACTCAATGGATTAAAGAATAATTTAAAATTATAAAAGGAGGACTTGAAATTGGGAGAGAGATGTGATAGGGTTCTGGGGGAAGTTGGAGGGGAAATGGCTGGTTATGATCAAGATATATTGTGTAACTAAAACAGTTTTTAAAATTCACAGACCTGGCATGGTGGCACACACCTGGAACCCCAGCACTCTAGAGACAGATGGGAAGATCACAAATTCAGGCCAGCTGGACTGTGGAGCAAGACCTTATCTCAGGCTCATAGCAAGGTCAGGCTAATTTATGAGCTATTCTCCTTATTGAGTAGAACCTGTAAAAACTGCCACTGGTTCGCAGGCAGCCGAGGTATTCAGGGTCCTGATATCCATGAGCCTGTGAGCTTTCTGAGCCCCCCATGGAGACCAAAAGAAGCTAGGAAGGGAGGGAGGTTGTTAGGGAGCAGAGACTAGGATGAGTTGTGGGCTGAGGAAGTCAACCAAGCAGTGGGCATGGGGCCTTCTCTTTGCAAGGAATGAAAGGAGGTGGGTGTCCACAGAACAGCAACAAGACAGCCACTTGCCAGCATTCCAGCCTGAGAGTACCACGTGTCAGTTACTCTGCCTTGGCTGCGGACACCATGTCCATGTGGGAGGTGCAGAAAGTGCAGCTCAGGGTCACACAGCTAGGGAGTGGGCTTAGAACCATATCTGATTTCTGAGAGCCCTTCAAGTGGGAAGGGCAAAAAGAGGAGAGGAGGGGGCCACAAACCTCAAGAAAATGTAATGAAGAGTGTGGCAGATGATGGTCACCAGGCATCCGTAACAGTCCCCAGAGTCCTTTGCAGTAGGTACTGCTACTGTCACTAGTACCAGAGGGCTGGCTACACCTCTGGGATCACAACTAGAGGGTGGAGTAAGTGGTCATCCCCAGCCTGTGTCCTTAGCCATTATACCACCACCTCACCACAGAATGGCAAAACGTGTCCTCCTGCCAAAATACA